ATCAGAGATTTTTGTTGTGGTTTTGGTAATTAAAAAAAATTAGCCAGGCAAGTGGCTCCACCCCGAGAAGCCCAGCACTGCGGAGGCCAAGCACAGGCGGAGGCTTGAGGGCGCAGGAGGTCGAGACCAGGCCTGGCAACATGGCTAAAACCCGATCTCTATTGAAAAACACAAAAATTAGCCAGGCAAGGGTGGGGATAGCCTAGGAATCCCACGCTACTTGGGAGGCTGAGGCAACGGAGAAGCACGGTGAAACCCAGAAAGAGAGAAGGGTGCGGTGCGGCGAACGGCGTACGCACCAACGGCACTCGCAGCCTTGTGCAAGTGGAGGGGGGACCGCTGGCGCAAACAAAAGAAGTACAGGAGAGAAATTAGATATGAAAAAGCACAAACAGAATACACGAAACGAGCATTGACAACGCACAATGCTCGAGGGGACGAGGGGCTGGAAAAATAAACAACAGATGACAAGAAATTGCTTGTCTAACATGCTGGGTATGTTTCACCCAAGTATAATAAACTGTGCTTCCCGAAGTGTGTTTGGTGAAAAGACTAGGCCCAGTGAGAAGAAGCCATTTCAACTGTACAACCATGAATACAAACAAGTGAACTAGAAGGTCACATTACTGCAAAGTGAACTAGGAGGCCACACTACTGCAAAATGTGCTAAAAAAAATTAACAGACCTCAGCATAATGAAAAAGGAGAAAAAGCACATTCTCTTCCTGAAGAACTCTGCTTATTGTATACAAGTCAACTCAGGTAATTGAAGGGTAGCATTTAGGATGTCAAATCTTGTTTACCTGAAGCATGGACTTGGGGTGAGGCAGATCTTCTCCTTGATAAATTTTAATATATGCCTTAAAATATAAACATAAAAACTGCTATAAAATGTTATTCAGTCATATCTTACTCATAATTAATTTTTAGAAAGTGACCATACAACTGCATTTTCCTAAACACTTAGATCAGCAACCAAGAATTAGCAAAAACACACCACACACCTTTGAGTGCATGTTAGCATTTTTAGTTAACTAAAAATGTTCTCAAGCAGCACAAACCTACAGAGGCTAGGATTCCCATCCAGCTCCCCATGCACGCTGACCTCACCACTACCTGTGGGCAGAGTGACCATCCGCCTTGAGGTAGTCGTGTCACATCTAGGTGCCGTCTCCTCCTACTCACAGCAACTTCCTAACCACCTCCTGTCCACACCATCTTCCCTGAGGAACAATCTTCCTTTAGTCACAGCTAATTGCTCCTCTAAGAGAGTGCAAAGAACATCCATTTGGTTCTTAGACCAATACTGCCACCCAATGGCCCACTCCCGGAAGGACACCAAGGTCTCTGAAAATGCCTTTCACCATCTCCCCCAGAAAATTTTAAGTTTCACAATATTTAAATTCAAGTTGATTTACAAGTTAGATCAGCTTTACCAAAAATCAAAAATTTTAGTAATTAAAATCTATATGTACCTTAAAATACTCCAATAGTCCCCGACAGGTGACCTTTGAGCCATTGATCTCCTTTTCCATTAACTTAGATGGGTTTAATACATACGGTATCAGTACCTGTAACTGCTCTTTGAATTCACCAGCAATATCTGTTCACAGGACCACAAAGAAGGAAAAAATAAGCCAAACAGCCTTATTCAACCAAAGTGAACATAAAATGCAAGCTTCCCAGTCTAGTGCTTTTAACATTGGTTGTTGAAAGTGGGAGAGAAGCCGGCCTGGTGGCTCCTGCCCATAATCCCAGCACTTTGGAAGGCCGAGGCAGGTGGATCGCCTAAGGTCAGGAGGCCAGCCTGACCAACATAGTGAAACCCCGTCTCTACTAAAAATAGAAAAACTAACCGGCCCAGCGGTGGTGGGGTTGGCTGTTTAATCCCTAGCTACTCAGGAGGGTGAGAACCCAGGGAATCACTGAAAACCCCTAGTGGAGAGGGAGGGTTTTAGGTGGAGGGGGCCGAGATTGCCACTCCAGCTGGCCAATCAAGAGTGAAACTCACTCAGAAAAAAAAAAAAAAAAACGTGGGAGAGAATAAATGGGGTCTGAGATATGTTATTTGACATGCTTCTGGCTATGACCCCAAGTTTTTTGTGAAGATCCGTGTCCCAACTGTACCTTCATATTTTCCTCTTCGCACCTGAGTAGAAAGTTGTATCATAAGTTTCAAAATATAGAATACCTATATTTGCCAGAATTACATCCTTACCCCGATGGTTTTCGAACTGCTATCTCCGGAATATCTGGTCCTACTCCCTACGCCTTTCAAAGAATTTCACTTTTAATATTTGATGGCCTGGTCAGCCGCGTGACTCAACGCGGCCTGTAATCCAGCAACTCTGGGGAAGGTCAAGGCCAAGGTGGATAAGGTGAGTTCAAAGACCAGTCTGGGCCCAAGATGTGAAACCCATCTCTAACTAAAAATGCAAAAATTAGCCAGAGGTGTGGCGGGGCAAAACCC